AGTGGCGATTTAAATAATCGCCACTTCATTTACATCAAAATGGCCACCGCGCTGTGCGGATCAGCTGTTTGGCTGCACAGTGGGGCAGTCTGGACATGCCGCGGTTGACAAGGGAAGCCTTTACCAACCGCTCCAGTAAACCTTATTTCACGAGGCATAATGGAGTGGTCGACAAAGGCTTCCCTTGTCGACCGTGGCACGTCCAGACTGCCCCGCTGTGCTGCCAAACAGCTGATCAGCACAGCGCGGTGCTGTGCGGATCAGCTGTTTGGCTGCACAGTGGGGCAGTCTGGACATGCCGCGGTTGACAAGGGAAGCCTTTACCAACCGCTCCAGTAAACCTTATTTCACGAGGCATAATGGAGTGGTCGACAAAGGCTTCCCTTGTCGACCGTGGCACGTCCAGACTGCCCCGCTGTGCTGCCAAACAGCTGATCAGCACAGCGCGGTGGCCATTTTGATGTAAATGAAGTGGCGATTATTTAAATCGCTGCTTCGTTTTCCTATGTCTAGTAAACTCATCTACATGGCTCCGTCGACGGAGCCGTGTAGTCTAGACATACCCTGAGAGTAAAGCCCAGGGGTAAAGGGCAGATTCTGCTCAGGTTTTGGTGGAGGAGCTGGTAAATGACATAACTGAGATCAAGGCCTCCACCAAGGACGTTTCATGACATCCTCATTTGGCAGACACCTTCTCAGCCCCTTTCAGCAGGGACATAGATCAGAAACATCATGGACACTCCTGTTCCCAAGCTAATTTGAACTCCTGGTTCGCTGCCTTATGCATGACATAGCAACAAACGCATAAAGCGCTCATCTCCCCTGAGGTGGCAAAGAGGGATTCTGCATCCCTTTTACCTGGCCCAGCAGCAGCCTCAAGCACATTTATTACTAGTGGTTCCCCCCTGAGCCTCAGAAGTGTGGGATAGTAAATCATGGATGCAAAGCAATGTTTTGCCCCAACACCTGTGTGGGTGCAAGAGGCTCAACCCCTCCACTACCCCCCCCAGCACTAGCCACTGACCCAAGAATCCCCTGCACCTAATCTCCCTAGTGCCAGCCTCCCACCCTCAGAGCTCCACAGTACCAGCCCTCCCCAGTGCCAGCCTCCTGTTTCCAGAGCCCCACTGCACCCAACCCCACACAGAGCCCTCCCCAGTGCCAGCCCCCAGTTCCCAATATTAGCCCCGTCCTCAGTAGGGTTGCCAGATACTTTCACCAAAAATTGGTTGAAGGGGGAAAAAAAAAAGACCAAACTTATTGAGCAAAAAAAAAAACTTGCTGTGCCTTTAAATTCCTGTGCTCACTGCTTCCCTCACCCCCGCAAGATGCGACAAGGAGAAAATGTCCCCGCCGGCCTTCCGTCTGAGAAAAACAGACAATACTGGACATTTTATATGTCCGGTATTTTTGGTTTTATTTACCGGACAGAAGACACAATTACTGGACTGCCTGGGCGAAAACCGGACACCTGGCAACCCTAGCCCCCAGAGCCCCCTAGTGCCAGCCCTATCT